TTTGCATTAAATCTGATTTACATGAATTTATTCACTGTAAGGACTTATCTCATAGTATAGCATCTGATACCACTCTGAACCGATTTAAGAGATCTCTAGAGTTCGGTGGTGAAATACTAAAATTCTTCTTTGGCACCCTGGATGCTGAGGATGCCCGGCATTACGATGCTGCAATAAACGCTTATCAGACAAGCGAGTCTGAACTTTTTAACCTCATGAAGGATAACATTCATGTAGTTAAATCAACGATAAATTCATTCAATTCAACAATCTCTGTATTAAATAAAAACGAATACAGATTGCATTCACAAACAGACAAATTGAACGAAATTCTAATTCAGACGACAAAAACCAATAACGAATTAATTAATATTGCTAAAATTAATAACTTAGTAAATATTTGACATAGTTCTCTGCTATCTATATCTAACTCTCTTGAGTATATACTTAATGCTATCTTATTCGCCAAAACAAATGTCCTTCATCCCGCTGTTATCACTCCCGTCAACTTACTTAATGAACTTACAAAACATAGTAACTTATAAATGAAAGACTAGATTTTTCCAGTTCCATTAAATTTAGAAACGATACATACATTTATAGATGTTTCAAAATTAACTTCTTATTACTACAATAAAAAAGATAGTTTTCTTAATTCAAATACCTCTAATTTCACCAAGTATATTGTATACAAACTTATCCCACTACCAACTCCTCATAACTCTGAGATTCCAAATAATTTTGCTCTTATTCATCCTTCTAAATCCTATCACAGATGATAGACTTCACTACGCACTATTAGATAATTTAAAAGAATGCTCTAAACTTACTAATGATGACTCTATATGTCCCTTGACGAATGTGTATTCGACAAATACTAATCCATCGTGTGAGACAAGATTGTTAACTGAAGTTATGTTGTCTTTACCAATTGAATGTGATTCGAAATTATTATATGGTAATATTAATATCTGGCAAAAACTTAGGAATAATAAATGGATTTTTGTACAATCTAAAAGTAATAAATTAAATGTAAGATGTAATAATGATATTAAAGATTATTCTATTGCAGGCACAGGCATAATAGAATTAAGTAAAAATTGTATAGCATATTGTAAAACTTTTCAATTTATACCGTCAACGACGTCCTCTTTCACGCATGAAAATGATCTTACTGTAGATTTTGATATAACTCAGGACGTAACGTACACGTAACTGTTGTGGGAAATACTAAACAAATCGATTCCTTTACTCTCACCGCTGTCCCTTAGTAACATTGACTTAGATTCTTTAAAACAAGCATCTCACCAATTAGATAGTCTAGAACATGAAATAAATAAGTTCCAACAAGAATCGCATTTTGTAAAATATGCCCCTTACTATTCTGGATTTAGCTTATCTTTTATATCTCTTATTATAATATATCTTTGTTATAGATTATACTTTTGTTTTCAAAATAGAAACAAAAATCAACATGTTGTGTGCAGATTTTCAATTAATGCTATAATCATAAAAATGAAAGACACCAAACTAAATTAACCAACTCAATTGAAATTTCAAACATCAGAAAATGAAGCTAATAAAAAATCTATAAAATCTTTACCTGCGCGTCATTTCAATTATAAATCCTGTAGAGATAATAAGGTTAGTTTTCTAAGCACTAGTAATAGAAATCTTAATTAGTAATTGTTTGATATGTTTTTATTAAATAGTATTTTAGTTATATTTTACTATTTTTGTACAACTGACTTCCTAATTTCTAATTTATCTCGAATATTCTTAATCATTATTAACTTCGCTTCATCTTATTGAGATAAAGCTTCGTCAAAAACCCCTTTTTGCTTTTTTGAGCTGTTATAACCCAACCTAATATGGGTATTTTGCAAAGGTTGATATTTCTATTAAAGCCGTATTTTTCCATAATGCAATGTGCAAGTTTTCATATTTTGCGTAAGCCTCAAATCAAGGCAGTTAGACATTGGCACTCGTAAAGAGCGGTACATCGCTCCGGGAATCGGGAAGCCAGTTAGTTATCGATTGAGTGTAATTTTCTCCAATAAATCGGGTGTTGGGAAGTTAGTTCTTTTTTTTTAAAAAGACAAATCGGAACGGCCGCCTAACAAATTGGTGTCAGAAGTGGGATATCGTAAGTGGTTTTCGTCGAAACCGTGTGAATCCAGGGAATATCCACAACAGAGGTCGACCCCTGCCCACGTCTAATCTCCCGATGATGGAAGCGGGAAGGCGGAATCAAATTATGCAATTCCATCGCACACTACGTGATATATCCTGTAGAATACCGATAAGCTGAGAAAGTTCAAGTTCAAGTGTTCAAGGCTCTGCAGCTTCGTCTCTACTAATTCCGAGTCACCTACAAGCCTTTTAGAACGCTTGTCTATTGAATCCATGGTGGCCAGTTGGTATTTAGCAGAGCCATCCTATAAATGGCAGCAGAACTCCATACTTGACCGGACTTATGCTTCGTACAGCTGAAGCAACTATCCCGGCGTAAAGTAACGCCTCACCTTGGAAAGGATGCCAAGATTCTTGGCTGCATTTTTGGCCATGGATTCAATGTATCTGCCGAAGTTCAGATTGGACGACCATTCCATTCCATGTAGGTGAAGACGGTCGGCTATAGATTGGAATATATCACGAAAAGTCGGAGTCAGGTGAAAGAGACTCCGTTTAGTGGGGAAAAGACACGCCTGCGCTTTGGTAGTATTAAATTTGACAGGATTGGCATCGCCCCAATCGGAGATTGCCTTAAGTGTTAAATTCAAACGACTAACCATGGACTCTCGACAAGAGTGGATTTCTTCTCCACTGACCCTTGCATTGGTCAAGTACATGTCCACAACTGTGCTGTCATCAGCATACCCAAAGGTACCTGGAATCAACATAACGTTTATATGCAGCACAAAGGGGGTGGCCGACAGTACAGAACCCCGAGGAACTTTTTAGGCACTGAGGAACGGCATCTCTCGCCCGACGTTCGGAAGAGTAGCCTTCTAACACCACTCGAATCGAACGTTCACTCAAGAAATCCGAAATCCAATTGCAATGGTCAGTGGGAAGCCCATAAGAGGGAGCTCTGCTTCCTTTTTTAGGCACTGGTTGCACATTTGCAAGCCTCGAAGGCCTGGGAACTACACAATTCTCAAGCGAGAGGCTCTTTACACATACGTGTTTGTACATGTAAAGAGCCAACGTCAAAAACAACGACTCGGTTGTTTTGTTTGTTTAGATCCGGAAAAAGTGTTTCATTTCCGATATCCAAACAAACTCAAAACAGGCAATTCTCTAATTTAATAGTAACGAAATTAAGTCCAGATAGGTCCTCCCACGAATCAAACTCGAGACCGTATCTGGCGCTCACACTGCTAATCACTGCGCTACAGAGGTGCATATGTAATCAATGTACCCGAATAAACACCAGAGTGGGTTAAATCAAACTTCATATCCTAAAATAATGCATTAAAAATCTATATTGAGTGGAATAAACGGCGACGGTATTTAGTTTCATGCGTTGATAGGTATTGTGAACGTGTTAATTTTGTCACTTACGTACAGTCAGCATACTAATAAAAAATATTTAAATATTATTTAGAGCGCACAAAATGTATGCACATAAATTTGACAACATTTGTTTGCACTTCGAAGTTAGAGATAAAACAGGTCATAAGGAATTAATTAACCATTTATTTAATTTTGTTGCTGACTGTGCCTACTCGGGGAATTCCTTTGTTTACGATGTATGGCTCATTAACGCCTAAAGTCAAACAGTGTGTGATAAACTACTGTAATAGTATTCATTTGATACTTACGTGAAGATGTATTCATGTGTGGAATTTCCATAGTGACCGCAGTAAAAAGAGAAAACACGAAGGGAACAACCGAAGACCCCTTACATATTAGGCTGGTTTTAACTCGATTTAACCTATAACTATAACGCATGCACACATGGAATGGTTTCCCCCCTGAACTATTTGCCCTTTACCCTATGATATAAAGTTCTTCAAAAATGAATAAACAGGGCTTTGAAAGTCTGGCAACGCATAGGCAGCTCCTCTGATGTAGCAGATGTCCATTGGCGACGATGACTACCTCCTATCAAGGGGTTCATCTGCTCGTTTGCTTTCTACTCTACATAAAAAACATTGGTACTTGGTACTTGGTGTAACGGGCTGGTGTCCGCAACTCGACGATAAAAAACATACTTACATACCATCACACCTAGTGTAAACTAGGTTAGCCAAATACTATTATCCTCCACTTATTACCCTCCTCACCAACCGCTTTCGCCTTCTCCACAGGCATCAGTCCCTTCATGCCTATTTATTCCTGGTAACTTTAACCTTTTTTAAGGACATCCCCAATCTGGTCTTCGAGACTACCTACGTTTCCATCTAAATTAACTCTATAAATTTGTGCCTTAGTATAAAAAGACAGTAGTGTAACTCCCACTTATTCAGCGAGTCAATGCCTACACGTCACTCGCCGTTAGGGTTTTCACATTATTATTTTAGTTGTACCCACATCAGGGCTAGCACGACAGGGCGCGACTTAAGCGACAGGGACATAAAACGCGAGATCTCTAAGGAGAATAGTAGTATATCTATATCTATTTTATGTCGCGCTCGCTCAAGTCGCGCCCTGTCGTTAGCACGCCCTACAGATTAAAAAACATAATTTGAAAATAAAATAATGAATTCATCACATCATTATCATCAGAAATAACTTTTGTCAAATGCAGTATACCAGCATCGCAGATTGGTATCTCGATTATAGGAGTATGATCATGAAACAGAAATGAAATGAGAGTTTGTACGTACATAACGACATATTTATAAATAAAAAAAATTAAATTGACACAGTAAAATATATCAATTGGCCATACTGCCCATCTTAGGTTGTAATTTTTTTCAAATCGTTATATCTTTACAGTGGCCGTTTTGAAACTTCTGTCAAGTATTCTCTACTAAACAACTTTTTTTTAGTTGGCTTCGAACCCAACGCTACGATGCATACAGCCCATCACATGTTGATCTACGGGTGCACGGAGCCAGGAACTAATGATACTGTTTGGTAAGTACTCCAGTTCTGAAAACTACGCTCGTACTACTTCTCTGTCAATTTTTCGATTCCGGCAAGCATCCCAATAGGAAAATGCTTCTCAATGCATATTTGACTTTAGATAAAACAATATATTCAAATGTGGGAGTGTATTACAAAATTTTAAAAACAATGATATTGTACAATGATATGAGTTGAATATTAGAAACAACTGTAGCTCATAAGACGTAATATGAATCTATTACAACTTTTCATGTACATTTGTAAAAGTTTCTCAGATATCGGGAAGAAAAAAGTCGAAGTTTTAATAACATCTCTCAATATACAAAACAGACTGTTGTTTTCAAACATGGCTTTACACACCCGAGTTTGGGAATTAATACCATAGTGTAATGAGATAAGTAATGCAATTCTCTGTTCGGCACGTCATAATGTCTACAATGCACAGGGTTGTCACATTATTATTTTAGTTGCACAGGCTGTGAAAAAATCAAACGTTTCATCACGGCATTCTCGTGCTATACGAGTATTGCAATAACCTTTGTAAAATGCAGTACTTACATATTGATATTTGTCTATGTGATTATGAAATAAAAATGAAATGCTGAATGTTTCTGAGTTGGAGGCACTGTTGTTAATGCAACAATAAACACGTCTACTATTTGATGTGTTTTTTAAATACCAATCGAACTCTTCAATTTTATAATAAATGTCACATGCGACGACCCTCGTTATGCAACGCCAGTGCACCGCGAGATTATGCAAATGTGTGCGTCTGTATACGACGCGCGGCGGGCGTAACCACATACTTTATTGTTACTCTACTTTATCGTTAAATACTTAACAACTTCAATAAAGCTACCTTTTCTGAATCGCGAAAAAAAGCTGTTCCATATTTAAAACAAAATTGTGGTGATATTAAAAACAAATTGTATTAATGGGCAGATTACACAATATGGATGTAAAGCAATTAAATTAACGCCATATTAGTTGCTGACATTTATTTAATCAGCCAAGCAGTAATGTCAGTATTACTGCGTTCCGGTTTTGAAGGGTAAGGGTGCTAGTGAATTACAGGCACTTGGGACTTGTCAACTTATGTCTCAGGGTGACGGGAGCAGTGGCAGCGCGCCTCAGATTTTTGCGATTTAAACTTGAAATTTGAGTGACACTGCAAATATTATGGACAGGCGTGTAGCTTACCATCACGTGCACGACTTGTTCGTCCCGTCATTTGATATTGTAGAAAAAAAATATTGGTTTTAAAATAACTCTTTTCATTTTTCCAGGGATTGTGGTGAGATGCAGAGCAATAATGTCGATTATAAGTACGCGTCTGCTAACCCGTGTCGTTCCGGGTCACAAGTAAGAATAATTATAACTTTTTGTTTAAAAAAAGGACTCAAACGTTAGATATTACATAATAGATATGATAGTAAAACACGGCATTCAATAAATAAATATCAATAGTAAATTGTAAAACGTCAAAAGTATATAACTGAGAAATGGCAAATAAAAATAGTATGCGATAATAATTTATTTTAGGAATTTATTTTTATTTTTTATTTATTTATTTATTTATTTATTTCAGGCCACATATAATATATGCCTTAAGGACTGACATACATACAATATAATAAAACTCTATTTCTAACTAATCTACACG